AATCTCCCTCGGCCTGTGGCTCTATGCAAGACCTCACCTCGTGGAGTTGCAATGATCATGAGAACGGTGAGGAATCAGCCCAAAACTACACGAGAGGATCTTGTCAATTATCTCAAGGCAGCTGGGACCATAGTCACCAAGAAAACAATTGGTAACACACTACGCCGTGAAGGACTGAAATCCCCCTGCTCAAGAAAGCACATATACAGTGGGGAAAAAAGTATTTAGTCAGCCACCAATTGTGCAAGTTCTCCCACTTAAAAACATGAGAGAGGCCTGTAATTTTCATCATAGGTACACGTCAACTATGACAGACAAATGAGAATATTTTTTTCCAGAAAATCACATTGTAGGATTTTTTATGAATTTATTTGCAAATTATGGTGGAAAATAAGTATTTGGTCAATAACAAAAGTTTCTCAATACTTTGTTATATACCCCTTGTTGGCAATTACACAGGTCAAACGTTTTCTGTAAGTGTTCACAAGGTTTTCACACACTGTTGCTGGTATTTTGGCCCATTCCTCCATGCAGATCTCCTCTAGAGCAGTGATGTTTTGGGGCTGTCGCTGGGCAACACGGACTTTCAACTCCCTCCAAAGATTTTCTATGGGGTTGAGATCTGGAGACTGGCTAGGCCACTCCAGGACCTTGAAATGCTTTTTACGAAGCCACTCCTTCGTTGCCCGGGCGATGTGTTTGGGATCATTGTCATGCTGAAAGACCCAGCCACGTTTCATCTTCAATGCCCTTGCTGATGGAAGGAGGTTTTCACTCAAAATCTCACGATACATGGCCCCATTCATTCTTTCCTTTACATGGATCAGTCATCCTGGTCCCTTTGCAGAAAAACAGCCCCAAAGCATGATGTTTCCACCCCCATGCTTCAAAGTAGGTATGGTGTTCTTTGGATGCAACTCAGCATTCTTTGTCCTCCAAACACGACGAGTTGACTTTTTACCAAAAAGTTATATTTTGGTTTCATCTGACCATATGACATTCTCCCAATCCTCTTCTGGATCATCCAAATGCACTCTAGCAAACTTCAGACGGGCCTGGACATGTACTGGCTTAAGTAGGGGGACACGTCTGGCACTGCAGGATTTGAGTCCCTGGCGGCGTAGTGTGTTACTGATGATAGGCTTTGTTACTTTGGTCCCAGCTCTCTGCAGGTCATTCACTAGGTCCCCCCATGTGGTTCTGGGATTTTTGCTCACCGTTCTTGTGATCATTTTGACCCTACGGGGTGAGATCTTGCGTGGAGCCCCAGATCGAGGGAGATTATCAGTGGTCTTGTATGTCTTCCATTTCCTAATAATTGATCCCACAGTTGATTTCTTCAAACCAAGCTGCTTACCTATTGCAGATTCAGTCTTCCCAGCCTGGTGCAGGTCTACAATTTTGTTTCTGGTGTCTTGGCCATAGTGGAGTTTGGAGTGTGACTGTTTGAGGTTGTGGACAGGTGTATTTTATACTGATAACAAGTTCAAACAGGTGCCATTAATACAGGTAACGAGTGGAGGACAGAGGAGCCTCTTAAAGAAGAAGTTACAGGTCTGTGAGAGACAGAAATCGTGCTTGTTTGTAGGTGACCAAATACTTATTTTCCACCATAATTTGCAAATAAATTCATTAAAAATTCTACAATGTGATTTTCTGGAAAAAAAAATCTCAATTTGTCTGTCATAGTTGACGTGTACCTATGATGAAAATTACAGGCCTCTCTCATCTTTTTAAGTGGGAGAACTTGCACAATTGGTGGCTGACTAAATACTTTTTTTCCCCACTTTACTTATTTCCCTCATTAAAATGCAAATCAATTTATAACATTTTTCACATGCGTTTTTCTGGATTTTTTGTTGTTATTCTGTCTCTCACTGTTCAAATAAACCTACCATTAAAATTATAGACTGATCATTTCTTTGTCAGTGGGCAAACGTACAAAATCAGCAGGGGATCAAATGCTTTTTTCCCTCACTGTAGATGTCCTAACCGACTTGCCAAAACTATAGTTTGTTAACAGGTTGAGAGCTTCAAGTTCCTTGGTGTCCACATCACCAACGAACTATCATGGTCCAAACACACCAAGACAGTCGTGAAGAGGGCACGACAAAGCCTATTCCCCCTCAGGAGACTAAAAAGATTTGGCATGGGTCCTCAGATCCTCAAAAAATTCTACAGCTGCACCATCGAGAGCATCCTGACTGGTTGCATCACCGCCTGGTATGGCAACTGCTTGGCCTCTGACCGCAAGGCACTACAGAGGGTAGTGCGTACGGCCCAGTACATCACAGGGGCAAAGCTCCCTGCCATCCAGGACCTCTATACCAGGCGGTGTCAGAGGAAGGCCCTCAAAATTGTCAAAGACTCCAGTCACCCTAGTCATAGACTGTTCTCTCTGCTACCGCACGGCAAGCGGTACCGGAGTGCCAAGTCTAGGTCCAAAAGACTTCTCAACAGCTTCTACCCCCAAGCCATAAGACTCCTGAACAGCTAATCATGGCTACCCGGACTATTTGCACTGCCCCCCCACCCCATACTTTTTACGCTGCTGCTACTCTGTTAAGTATTTATGCATAGTCACTTTAACTCTACCCACATGTACATATTACCTCAACTACCTCAACTAGCCGGTGCCCCCGCACATTGACTATGCAACGGTACCCCCCTGTATATATAGCTTCCCTACTGTCACTTTATTCTATTGTATATATAGCCTCCCTACTGTCACTTTATTTTTACTTCTGCTCTTTTTTTCTCAACACTTTTTTGTTGTTGTTTTATTCTTACTTTTTTGTTTAAAATAAATGCACTGTTGGTTAAGGGCTGTAAGTAAGCATTTCACTGTAATGTCTGCACCTGTTGTATTCGGCGCATGTGACCAATAAATTTTGATTTGATTTGATTTGATTTAACAAGAAATGTGTGGAGTGGTTGAAAAACGAGTTTTAATGACTCCAACCTAAGTCTATGTAAACTTCTGACTTCAACTGTACATAATGAGTCCAAGGCTTAGGATGGCGGTTTCTTTGCAACCCCCTTCCCCATTATGTCTACTGGAAGCACCAAATCAAACAAATTGCACTCCACGCATTATCATTACCCTAATTTTCAAGTAATAACATATCCAGATCCCAGTGTAAATTGACTGTGGCTACTTACATCCCCCTTGTCCCTTACCATGTGGCAACTGCCATACATTGACTGCCCAGAAAAACCATTGGTGGATACTGTACTAGAAATGTGTGTGGAGATGTTACATGAGTTCATCAGAATAGCCATAGGGGTTAGCCTGGTCCCAGATCTGTATGTGTTGTAGCTCACTCCTCTGACTATCATTGTCACCACAGCAGAGAGGAGTTGGCTTTATAATACATTTCATGCAATTCTACTTATTTTGCAATGGGGCAGAGATACATTTTTTCAGTTTTAAAGCTGATTTCCTGCAATTCCCCCCCAAAAAATGCCATGGGGTGGAGAGAAAGTTTTTCAGTTTTAAAGCAAATTTCCTGCAAATCAACACATTTTGCCATGACATATTTGAGTGAGAGTGAATAACAAAATCAATGGGGGCCCCCTGGAAAACGTGCACTGAATGCCCGGTCGGTATTCGGCCATGATTACCACAAGTTTAGATAACTGGCTAGACTAACTAACCAATCAAAAAATTGTTAGCTGACATGGCTAATTGAGTGACTGTCAGTGACTGACAAAACAAGAGAAAAACAGCTGCTGCACAACCAAATTTCGAACTTACACCTTGTGTATTCTACTATTCTAACTCTCAACAGTAAGTTGAGACCCAGACTGATTTCCTAAAATAATAGCTTATGTGGCTTATGCCTGGAAGCCGGCCCTGAGGTTAGTGTGCTCCACCTATAGGGGCCTCAACCTCCATCTCAACCTCTGAAAGCACTTTAGACCACTTTTCAAGCTCAGTCTGCCAGTTAGTGTGCTGTAGCCATTAGTGTTGGAGTGCAGGTCTCCATTTAAAACACAGTGATTGTCCCAGGGTTCTCATCAGTTTGATTAGAAGTATCCACCCCATAACAGTCAAGAGAGCTAGGCTATGATTAGAGATATATCGGTAGGGTAGGCCTTCTGTATAATCACAGACCTCGTCATCCCGGTCATGAACTATTTTTACTCTGGCCCAAGGCTGTGCTACAGACTATGAAATCAAATGTCAATTTGAATGGGATAGTTGCAAAAACAAGATAGGCTACTGCAGTAATCACTGTGTTGTGTGTGAAATTCACTACTGCTTAGAAATACAACAGCTAAATGCATTCGAGAGATTATTCAGAGCAAAGCTATCTCACCTATAGAATGTATGTGGGTGGGTGGGGGGGTCGGGGGGGTGTAGCTCGTAATATGTTAAGATATTAGGGATTTGTATCTGTGTTTGTGTGTATTGTGTTTTTACATAGATTTTGTATTTGTTCAAATGTTCTGTATATATTATTTTACATTTCTTAAGGACTATTGGAAGACTAGCCATTTGTGGGCTGAAAGAGATCCTAATAAAATAAAATCATTCAAACCTTCAGCTGTTGCACGTCTTAGGAAAAACACAGAAGAGCTTGGGCATCACCTAGTGGACACAAGAAGAACTTGCAGTCTGGCATGCAGCTCATGGCCACATACTTTATGCTACTGTAAGTCTGTGGGGTTGTAGGTCTTCCAGTTGAAGAAGCTGACACAATGTGATATCATCATTGTATTAGACTGCAAACTTAATGTTGAGACTGCATAACTTATCAGGTGAAATAAAATATATAAAAAGGGGAGAGGGGAATAGCAACACGCCCACACACTACATCATGGCAGCTCTGACTGAATCTTCTACCCAGAAGCCCTTACAGGAGGAGCCAATTAGAATTCAGGTACTAACGCATGTCAAAATAAAAGTCTTACATATTACATGTCTCACAGTATTGAAAATACATAACTGTTTTTATGGTGGTGTACGGGTAAAAGTAAAACTAGTTTATGGTAGAGGCATTTTCCAACAAAGCATTTATTGTTCCATTTTTTAGGTTATAAAATGGCATACTTCACTTTGAAACATGGAATTGAAACACGGTTTTAGGATGAAATGTTATTTGAAAAAATGTATTTGGAGGTAAAAGGTCCCCAAAACAATTCTAAGAACATTACATACACTATTGACATATGTACATAATGAGTCCAAGGCTTAGGATGGCAGTTTCTTTGCAACCCCCTTCCTCAGTATGTCTACTGGAAGCACCAAATCAAACAAATTGCACTCCACGCATTATCATTACCCTAATTTTCAAGTAATAACATATCCAGATCCCAGTGTAAATTGACTGTGGCCACTTACATCCCCCTTGTCCTTTACCATGTGGCAACTGCCATACATTGACTGCCCAGAAAAACCATTGGTGGATACTGTACTAGAAATGTGTGTGGAGATGTTACATGAGTTCATCAGAATAGCCATGGGGGTTAGCCTGGTCCCAGATCTGTATGTGTTGTAGCTCACTCCTCTGACTATCATTGTCACCACAGCAGAGAGGAGTTGGCTAAAGCACAAAGTGATCTAGAGTCAGACTACATGGAGGCCATTGGTCCAAGTTGATTCACACCTGAAACAATCTCAAAGCAGTGTTGTGCAGTATGGACGATGTTGCATGTTTTTAAACCTTGGTGGGAAAAAAGAACAACGCATCCAGGGGTATAAGGAAACCATGATCAGAGCAGTTGATCCTGGTGTAACAAATATCTTTATACCAAAACCAAACTAAACAGACAAGATAATAAACAAGTCCATGGATAGATGTGGATGAATTCTACAGTAGAAACAGTGATAGGTGAGTGAGGGTGGTCATTAAGACATTAGTCGTCGGCCTCTGGGGTGGCCGGGGGCTCCTCTGTCTGTCGATTGGTGGGGATGCCCACAGGAGGGCGGAGTTTACGCCCAAAGCTCTGGACATGTAGAGGTGAACCAGGGGGTGGAGCTGAGGGCATGACAGGTGGCTGGCCAAGGGGCTTGAGTGGGGTGGCAGGGGGCGAGGGCACAGGGGTATGGGGATGTTTGCGGACAGGCCGGGTGGGTGCCTCAGGTGAGTGGGAGGACGGTGGGAGGGGGCTGGGGTAACCAGGTGGGGTGAGGACTGAGAGGCTGATGGAGTTGGCTGAACACTCGTCCTCACCTTTGAGACTGTCCTGGAACAACAACAATGAAGGAATAGAGTTAAGCAGAAAATATTAATGGAAAACGAGCAACATTCTTGAAAATAAACTAGTCTTTGCGAATTGAAAAATCAGTGACTTACATCTTCATTGACAACGTAAAGAGCCATTGGGCTCCTACGGCCATGTGTTCCATGGGCTATTGTTTTTGGCACCACATCAACTGCAAATGAAAGAATGTGTGAACAACTCCACAAACTGAGTGTAGGCCTACTCTGCAAAACATGTGTGCTGACTATAACTTTGCCATGAAATCTATCCATCTAAAAAGGTTTGCATTCAAATATCTGAAATAGATACATAAATGAAATAATTAGTGTGGGGAACAAAGAATATCACACATGCAAAAAGCACCTAACTGTCAAAAGCTCACATCCTTACCATCGTGACTGATGTCACTCCTCTCTACATATACTGGAGATCTCTGCAACATGGCTGCCATGTCAGCCCGCCGCTTCTTTCTTAACCCCAATGAGAGACAAGTAGGAGATGAGTGTTTCACATGTAGACTCGTGTAGTGACCATTTACATTCAGTTTCTGTATCCTCAAGAACATGTAAACCCAATGATTTGTTTAAATACTGCATACAGTGTAATTCTAGCCTGGTCCCAGATCTGTTTGTGCTGTATAGCCACAACATTGACAATGACCATAGGAGTAGGCTATACAGCACAAACAGTTCAGGCACCAGGCTAGTGGGATACCATTATCATTGCATTGTAAACAACAGAGATAGAATCCATCCCACACGATGCTATCAGTGTCAGAACCTTAGTGTAACATTGGACATGCATCTGCAGAACTGCAGAGTAGTAGAGAGCTAGGCCAGGGCATTAAGATTCTAGCCGCCTGCTCCTTGCCTAGTGCTTAGTTCTGGACCTCGAGGCATATCAAAGCAAATAGGGAGATGGAGGCACAATGTGGAGCTCTTACTTTTTGGAGGGCTTCCAGCAGGCGCACACAGTCACCAGGGTGATGAGGAGGAAAATGCCCCCGGTGGAAAGGATGATATACAGGGAACTCCGTCCTAGCAAAGGAATGAAGCTTATGGTCAACAGAGTAGCCCTTTCTCACAAACCGCAACCACTTCACCACTGTACAAGCAAAGAGTCCACTCGGACTAGACAAAGATGTCACCTCTCGGGCTCTGGAAATTAGCTCCACTCTCCTCTTTCTCTAATATAGGCCTATCTTTACACAGTCCACTGTAGAACTTTTAGTGGAGGCCCCAATAACATCTCATAAAATGGAACCGTTCCAGAATGAGTAAAAATGCTAGGTTCTCCTAGCCTGGTAGTGGATCTGTTTGTGATGTCTTGCCAACGTTTGGCGCAACAATGACCATAAGAGTTGGCAAGACTGCACAAACAGATCTGGAACCAGGCTAAGGTTTTCCAGCACTAGCTGTGCCAGCCAAGTCTGTGTGTGAAAGCTGGGATTGAAAGGGACTGCTTTGAGGCTTTGTACAGGGCTGTATGTACGGAGAGAATACAGGACCCTTACTGGGCTAGCTGATATCTTGTCACACTGTGATTGCGACCCAAATGGCACCCTATTCCCTATATATTGCACTACTTACTTTTGACCAGAGCCCTATGGATCATGGTCAAAAGTAGTGCACTATAAACGGAATAGGGTGCCATTTGGTACACAGCTATTGTCTCAGGTAGGGAATAATGAAGTAAGGATTAGTGTGCTCCACCTGGGCAAGACCTCAGCTCCACAGGTTTCCTTTATCTCCTTGCCCTCATAAATAACTCAAGCTTTTCACTGGTCTGGTCCTGTCCGGTCAGGTTGATCGGTCGGTCAATTAAGTTTCTTCAGAATTAACTTGTATTTCAACTTTTCCCTGACAGGTACATGCTGAAGCAATCAAGATAAATATGCTTACTAAGGAGCACACTAATCCTAAAGTAGGCCTCACCATTATCCCAGAATTCTTAGACCCTAGACCCACTCCAATTTGCATACCGCCCCAACAGATCCACAGATGATGCAATCTCTAATGCACTCCACACTGCCCTTTCCTACCTGGACAAGAGGAACACATACGTGAGAATGCTGTTCATTGACTACAACTCAGCGTTCAACACCATAGTGCCCTCAAAGCTCATCACTAAGCTAAGGACCCTGGGACTAAACACCTCCCTCTGCAACTGGATCCTGGACTTCCTGACGGGCCGCCCCCCAGGTGGTAAGGGTAGGTGACAACACATCTGCCACGCTGATCCTCAACACGGGGGCCCCTCAGGGGTGCGTGCTCAGTCCCCTCCTGTACTCCCTGTTCACCCATGACTGCACGGCCAGGCATGACTCCAACACCATCATTAAGTTTGCCGACGACACAACAGTGGTACCGACAACGATGAGACAGCCTATGGGAGGAGGTCAGAGACCTGGCCGTGTGGTGCCAGGATAACAACCTCTCCCTCAACGTGATCAAGACAAAGGAGTTGATCGTGGACTACAGGAAAAAAAAGAGGACTGAGCATGTCCCCATTCTCATCGACGGGGCTGTAGTGGAACAGGTTGAGAGCTTCAAGTTCCTTGGTTTCCACATCACCAACAAACTATCATGGTCCAAACACACCAAGACAGCCGTGAAGAGAGCACGACAAAGCCTATTCCCCCGTAGGATTTGGCATGGGTCCTCAGATCCTCAAAAAGTTATACAGCTGCACCATCGAGAGCATTCTGACTGGTTGCATCACTGCCTGGTATGACAACTGCTCGGCCTCCGACCGCAAGGCACTACAGAGGGCAGTGCCTTCGGCCCAGTACATCACTGCCATCCAGGACCTCTATACCAGGTGGTGTCAGAGGAAGGCCCTAAAAATTGTCAAAGACTCCAGCCACCCTAGTCATAGACTGTTCTCTCTGCTACTGCACGGCAAGTGATACCGGAGCGCCAATTCTAGGTCCAAAAGGCTTCTTAACAGCTTCTACCCCCAGGCCATAAGACTCCTGAACGCTGCTGCTACTCTCTGTTTATTCTCTATGCATAGTCACTTTAACTCTACCCACATGTACATATTACATCAATTACCTCGACTAACCAGTGCCCCCGCACATTGACTCTGTGCCGGTACCCCCTGTATATAGCCTCCCTACTGTTATTTTATTTTACTGCTGCTCTTTAATTATTTGTTATTTTTAACTTATCTATTTTTTACCAAACACTTATTTTTCTTAAAACTGCGTTGTTGGTTAAGGGCTTGGAAACATTTCACTCTAAGGTCTACACCTGTTGTATTCGGCGCATGTTGCAAATACAATGTGATTTGATTTGAAGTACTACGACTGTAGTTCTACTTACTGTAGACGGTGAGTTTGACAGGCACACTCCTCATGCTACTGATTGGGTTCTCCACCATACAACTGTAGATGTCATCGTCTGACATCAGCACCCGGGCGATGGTCAGATGCTTCATGTCATGTGACAGGAGCAGGCGCGAGTCATTGGTTAGCACCTTGCCCCCTTTCAGCCAGCCATAGGTGGGCTTGGTGCCATCGCCATGGGAACAGTGTAAGGTGAAGAGTTCACTCAACTCCAGCACCGAGGAGGCTATCATTTGGACGTAGGGTCTGGACACAGGTACTGTGGGGACAATACACAACAACATGTCAAATAAATTCACTACAGGAGACATAACCCGTATTCCACTGTTTATATGGTATGGCATTTGCTTATACAAGTAAATGATTTGTGAAGAAATAACAAGCTACCTACTCTTTAAAGTAGGCCTTACAAATAACTTATAAAGGCTGTTATAGGATATACTTTGTTCAAAGTGTGACCACACTTTTAGCCTTACACCTCAGTCTGGAATAGCATTATGTGATTCACTAAGGTCACTAAGGTCAATAGTTGGTCAGTTGTTGGACTGTTTATTTGATATTGTAGCCTGAGCCTGAGCCGTATTGTAAATACAATATCAATCACTGAAATAGTAACTAAATATGCCATTTAGCAGAAACTTTTATCCAAAGCAACTTACAGTCATGCGTGCCTAAATCTTTTACATATGTATGGTGATCCTGGGAATCAAACCCACTATCCTGGCGTTGCAAGCGCCATGCTCTACCAAATGAGCTACACAGGAAACCTTCCTACCATCTACGGTGAGGTTGATGTTGCGCTCCGCAGTGAAGGCATCATCCGTTATGGAGATCTCCACTTCATAGGCCCCCTCGTCAGACAGCTGCAGGTTGTGGAGGAGCAAGGTGCCGTTCTCAAACACCATGATACGGTCCCTGTACTCGGGCCGCAGGTTCCCAATGATGCTGGTGCCTATGGACTGGACTACGGTGACGGGCTGCTGCTTGTCCCTCTTCAGCTGCCACTTGATGACCGGTTGGTCGGAGCTGGTGCTGGTGTAGCTGACGGAGAGGAGGGCCTCACCACCCAACGTGCCTCGGACCAGATGGGCCTGACTGGTGATGTTGACGCCGGCTACTCTGACTGCATGGACACAGCCCAACACATGACGTTCAGTGAACACTGTGGCAGACTATACAGTGCAGGATATAGTGATCACATGCATGCAGGACGATTTGATGGCTGTAAGTGGTTGATTACTGTAACCACATTCACTACAAGCAGAGTGATCTGCTCTAATATGAGGTCCTAATAACGAGTTTGGAACATTCTGTTTTGTCTTTTGTCTTTATATGCGTTCAGAGATATACGGTACAAAATAAAGTCAGATATGGGCCTATAGTTTTCACTCCATTCCCTAAATTAGTCCAGGAATAGATCTAACTTTCATTCTTGAAAGCAGACTTTTGAAATCAAGACTACTCAAAATGGCGCCCTCAAACTTCCTCATTATTACCGCAATCAATCATTCAGTGAAAATTCAATAACAGGTAAGGACCTCTCCAAACAAGCCCAACGTATTTAATCTGTTTTGATTTGTGTACCATTAATGGATCCCCCTTGAGCATACAGGAGGATGGTTTACAACATAACCCACATATCATCCTTTAGAGTCTCGTTCTGCCCTGGAAACCACACACAGTAACGCCATTATGCTCACAGTGGAGTTTCCTGTAAGTCACCACATCCTTGACCACATGTAGCCATAGGCTAGAGCCACTGATGGGCGCTGTACCTAATGGATGGGCTGTTGCATGTCATGCTGGGGCAATAGAGAGAGAGAGAGAGAGAGCGCCTGGCACCGACCCTCCTCGGCCACAGCTCTGCTCCCTGTAGCGTGTCTGCATGGCATCGCTCGATCGCCGTGGCAACAATTTTCAGCCTGAAGGAGGTTGCCAAGGGAGAGGCAGACAAAGGCCAGGATTGTTGGACTGATTTCCTCCCTCCCGTGGTATAAAAAGCCACTGGGAGAGACATGCTCTTTGTGATTGTAGAAGCAGGAGACACAAGGGTTCAGTGATTCTGCTAATAGTGGATGGCCACAATGACATAACAGACAGCCACACAGCAGAAGCAGGCTGAGCCAGGCTCATAATGCAGAGACACCACCACCATCACTGCCTCGCCTGGGCTCCAACTCCAAGTCCCCCAAAGCCTCTTCTCGTAATATAATAATGCTTAACCTATGCTTCCCCCACTTACCTCCCATCAACAGCTCAGCTCACCCAGGCTCCTTTTACTACAGCTGTTTGGCTGAGTAGACCTGTGCCTTGGAGCTAATCCGCACAGAGGGTACACCAGGACAAAACAACTCTCACTGCATGGGCCAATGAAACCTACTTTAACATAGTATTTAATTCAATGATCAAGTACATAAAGGAATAATGGTTACAACCAAATTATGTATTATAAAACAAATACATTTTGAAATGAATTTGCTAACAAAACAATGTGAAACAATTTGAGAATTGAAATAAGACAGCTATGTAAATCTCAAATATACATTTACATTTTAGCAGACGCTCTTATCCAGAGCGACTTACAGTTAGTGAGTGCATACATTATTTTTTATTTTTTCATACCGGCCCCCCGTGGGAATCGAACCCACAACCCTGGCGTTGCAAACGCCATGCTCTACCAACTGAGCTACATCCCTGCCGGCCATTCCCTCCCCTACCCTGGACGACGCTGGGCCAATTGTGCGCCGCCCCATGGGTCTCCCGGTCGCGGCCGGCTACGACAGAGCCTGGATTCAAACCAGGATCTCTAGTGGCACAGCTAGCACTGCGATGCAGTGCCTTAGACCACTGCGCCACTACTTGATCGCGTTATCACATATTCCCTGACTACTATGTGATAAACATTTTTGCCAATTTAGTCACATATCTATTCATTCAAACTACTCTTACTTGAAACTTATTTCCTGATTCAGCCACTAGTTCTTTACCGCATTATGTTTCCCAAAAAGCAAGTCATAAAGTTTGAAAGTGTTCACTTACCTGCCTGGAAAAGAAGGAGGAGGATGAGTGAAAATAGCAAAGGAATGGCTGTGTCTTCTTTCAAGGAAGTCTTCCTCCTCTCCTCCTTCATCTTGGGTACAGTGCTGAGTCCCTCTCCCACCCAATGAGCATGATTTGTCCACTCCAGGCACGTTCCTGAGAATGCACAAGTCTGAAAGACTGGGCTCAGTTGCCTGCCTGCTCTGAACCCCAGCACTCAGGATCCCAGCATGAACAAAAGCACTGTGTGTGTGTCCTCAGCTTTGTTAGACATAGACATAGATAAGCACCGTTTTTTTTATTATTATGGTGGTTGGCCAAAGAGCATAGCTACACAGCTATATTGTTCAATTCAGGAACAGTACCTTGATTGTCATTCCTACAGTGCTGCTCAGAATTATTTAATAAACCAAAGGCTTTATAAAAGGACCCCACTCGGAGAAACAGAATGACTGCTCTTAAAAAACAATTAACCCCTCTCCCCAACTACTGTCCCCACCCCCTGCCAACCCCCCTCCAGACACACACTCTAAATAAGAGCAACAGTGATTATGTATTAGTCCACACAAACTGTTTTGCAACGAAAACAAGTTATTATTTTTGATCAAATTCAGGTTATTCCCTCCCTGTTACGGCCCGTTTGCTTCCATTTGGTTCTTAGTTAATACACCCCAGATGTAAGAGGATGGGAAGAGAAGAATGGGAAGTACTCAGAAAAACATGCAATGTGTTCCCAACGTGGCCACTAGGTGTTGCAATAAGAACAGAGAATCAATGATCAGCAAATAAATAATAGACTGGAGATATGAACAATAAAGGACACATCATGATATTTCTGATAATCTTATCATTTTAACAATACCTGCAATTCAGCTTCTTGTTGCAGCATGTACACTGCAGTTCAGACAAATAAAAAGTATGTTCTCTCTCTGGCACTATACAGTGCCTTCAGAAAGTATTCACACCCCTTGACTTTTCCCACATTTTGTTGTGTTACAGCTTGAATTTAAATGGATTCAATTGAGATGTTTTGTCACTGGCCTACACATAATACCCCATATTGTCAAAGTGGAATTAAGTTTATCGAAATAGTTACAAATCAATAAAAAATGAAAAGCTGGAATGTCTTGAGTCAATAAGTATTCAACCACTTTATTATGGCAAACCTAAATAAGTTCAGGAGTAAAAGTTTTATTAACAAGTCACATAATAAGTTGCATGGACTCACTCTGTGTGCAATAATAGTGTTTAACATAATGTTTTTAATGACTACCTCATCTCCTTATCCCACAATTATCTGTAAGGTCCCTCAGTCGAGCAGTGAATTTCAAACACAGATTGAACCACAAAGACCAAGGAGGTTTTCCAATGCCTCGCAAAGAAGGGCAACTATTGGTAGAAAAATAAAAGCAGACATGGAATATCCCTTTGAGCGTGGTAAAGTTATTAATTACACTTTGGATGGTGTATCAAAAATGTTTTCACCTTTATTTAACCAGGTAAGCCAGTTGAGAACAAGTTCTCATTTACAACTGCGACCTGGCCAAGATAAAGCAAAGCAGTGCTATAAAAACAACACAGTTACATATGGGGTAAAACAAAACATAAAGTCAAAAATACAACAGAAAATACATATACAGTGTGTGCAAATGTAGCAAGTTATGGAGGTAAGGCAATAAATAGGCTATAGTGCAAAATAATTACAATTAGTATTAACACTAGAATGATAGATGTGCAAGAGATGATGTGCAAATAGAGATACTGGGGTACAAATTAGCAAAATAAATAACAATATGGGGATGAGGTAGTTGGGTGGGCTAATTTCAGATGGGCTGTGTACAGGTGCTGTGATCGGTAAGGTGCTCTGACAACTGATGCTTAAAGTTAGTGAGGGAGATAAGAGTCTCCAGCTTCAGAGATTTTTGCAATTCGTTCCAGTCATTGGCAGCAGAGAACTGGAAGGAATGGCGTCCAAAGGAGGTGTTGGCTTTGGGGATACACCCAATCACTACAAAGATACAGGCGTTCCTTCCTAACTTAGTTTCCGAAGAGGAAGGACACCACTCAGGGATTTCACCATGAGGCCAATGGTGACTTTAAAACAGTTACAGAGTTTAATGGCTGTGATAGGAGAAAACTGAGGATGCATCAACAACATTGTAGTTACTCCACTATAGTAATCTAATTGACAGAGTGAAAAGAAGGAAGCCTGTACAGAATTAAAATATTCCAAAACATGCATCCTGTTTGCAACAAGGCACTAAAGTAATTCAGCAAAAAATGTGGCAAAGCAAATCACTTTTTGTCCTGAATGCAAAATGTTTTGTTTTGGACAAATCCAACACATTACTGAGTAGCACTCTCCACATTTTCAAGCATGGTGGTGGCTGCATAATATGGGTATGCTTGTAATTGTTAAGGACTGGGGAGTTTTGGAAGCTAAGCATGGCAAAATGGAAGCTAAGCATGGCAAAATCCTAGAGGAAAACCTGGTTCAGTCTGATTTTCACCAGACACTGGGAGTTGAATTCACCTTTCAGCAGAACAATAACCTAAAACACAAGGCCAAATCTACACTGGAGTTGCTTACCAAGAAGACAGTGAATGTTCCTGAGTGGCCGAGTTATAGTTTTGACTTAAATCTGATTGGAAATCTATGGCAAGACCAGACAATGGATGTCTAGCAACGATCAACAATCAATTTGACAGAGCTTGAAGTATTTTGAAAAGAATAAGGGGCAAATGTTGCAAAATCCAGGTGTGGAAAGCTCTTAGAGACTTACCCAGAAAGACTCACAGCTGTAATCGCTGGTAAAGGTGATTCTAACATGTATTGACTGAGGGGGTTGAATACTTATATAATCAAGATATACAGTGGCTAGCGAAAGTATTCACCCCCATTGGCATTTTTCCTATTTTGTTGCCTTACAACCTGGAATTAAAATGGATTTTTGGGGGGTTTGTATCATAAGATTTACACAACATGCCCACCACTTTGAAGATGCAAAATACTTTTTATTGTGAAACAAACAAGAAATAAGACAAAAAAACTGAAAACCTGAGCATGCATAACATTCACCCCCCCCCAAAGTCAATACTTTGTAGAGCCACCTTTTGCAGCAATTACAGCTGCAAGTTTCTTGGGGTATGTCTCTATAAGCTTGGCACATCTAGCCACTGGGATTTTTGCCCATTCTTCAAGGAAAAACTGCTCCAGCTCCTTCAAGTTGGATGGGTTCCTCTGGTGTACAGCAATGTTTAAGTCATACCACAGATTCTCAATTGGATTGAGGTCTGGGCTTTGACTAGGCCATTCCAAGACATTTAAATGTTTCCCCTTAAACCACTCGAGTGTTGCTTTAGCAGTATGCTTAGGGTTATTGTCCTGCTGGAAGGTGAACCTCCGTCCCAGTCTCAAATCTCTGGAAGACTGAAACAGGTTTCCCTCAAGAATTTCCCTGTATTTAGCGCCATCCATCATTCCTTCAATTCTGACCAGTTTACCAGTCCCTGCCGATGAAAAACATGGTGGTGTTCTCGGGGTGATGAGAGGTGTTGGGTTTGCGCCAGACATAGTGTTTTCCTTGATTGCCAAAAAAGCTTAATTTTAGTCTCATCTGACCAGAGTACCTTCTTCCATATGTTTGGGGAGTCTCCAACATGCCTTTAGGCAAATACCAAACATGTTTGCTTATTTTGTTCTTTAAGCAATGGCTTTTTTCTGGCCACTCTTCTGTAAAGCCCAGCTCTGTGGAGTGTACGGCTTAAAGTGGTCCTATGGACAGATACTCCAATCTCTGCTGTGGAGCTTTGCAGCTCCTTCAGGGTTATCTTTGGTCTCTTTGTTGCCTCTCTGATTAATGCCCTCCTTGCCTGGTCCGTGAGTTTTGGTTGGCGGCCCTCTCTTGGCATGTTTGTTGTGGTGCCATTATCTTTCAATTTTTTAAGAATGGATTTAATGGTGCTCCGTGGGATGTTCAACGTTTCGGATATTTTTTTATAACCCAACCCTGATCTGTACTTCTCCACAACTTTGTCCCTGACCTGTTTGGAGAGCTCCTTGGTCTTCATGGTGCCGCTTGCTTGGTGGTGCACCTTGCTTAGTGGTGTTGCAGACTCTGGGGCCTTTCAGAACAGGTGTAAATATACTGAGATCATGTGATAGATCATGTGACACTTAGATTGCACACAGGTGGACTTTAGTTAACTAATTATGTGACTTCTGAAGGTAATTGGTAGTACCAGATCTTATTTAGGGGCTTCATAGCAAAGGGGGTGAATTCATATGCACGCACCACTTTTCCGTTATTTATTTTTAAGAATTTTTTGAAACAAGTCATTTTTTTAATTTCACTTCACCAATTTGGACTATTTTGTGTATGTCCATTAAATGAAATCCAAATAAAAAATCAATTTAAATGACAGGTTGTAATGCAACAAAATAGGAAAAACGCCAAGGGGGATGAATACTTTTTCAAGGCACTATATTAGTGTTTTCTTTTTCATATATCTTGTTTTACAAATGTTAGAATGTTTCTTCCAATTTGACATCACAGAGTATTTTGCGTATATCGTTGACAAAACATGACAATAACATCTATTATAATCACACTTTGTAACACAACACAATGTGGAAGATTCAAGGGCTGTGAACACTTTCTGAAGGCACTGCACATGCAAACAACAGATATCAATATCACTGATAAGCAAAACAGTGTAATGTTAAACCCCTTACAATAAAGGCTGTCACCATCATCACGACTATAGTCCTCCTGCCACTCAATGCTCAGTCTCACAATTTATACACCTACAATAAACACGTCATGGTGGATTTTCTGACACCAGACTTACACTTGTCAGATCAGACAGAGATGTGCTAGTTAACATGATATAACCTCTCAGCTTTCTACTCGTCTATCAGACAATATTGACAAAACGTCAATATCAGTTTGGATTGATGCAGAGACCGCCAGTAATGTGCATTGCACCATAAGTCAACCTTAGGAAAGCCCTAAGGTTACATTCTGCCTTACTGTTTCATTCAACAAAGGCAGTGTAATAAACCTAGAAGAGGAATGTCAGAGCTAGCCAACGCAGCATCTTTCACCCATAGTAGAACCAGAGCCGGCTCCAGCCATAAGTGATATAAGCAGTCACTTAGGGCCCCAGCTGTTTATTTTATAAAACATTTTTAGGAACTCAGTCAGGGTCTCAACTTACTGTTGAGAGTTAAAATAGTAGAATAGACAAGGTGTAAGTTCAACGTTTGGTTTTGCATCAGCAGTTTTTCTCTTGTTATGTCAGTCACTGACAGTCACTCAATTATCAATGTCAGCTAAAATGTTTTTGGTTGGTAAGTTAGTCTAGCCAGTTATCTCAATTTG